TTTCAATTATTTCTCACTTTTACGGGCGTTATGCAGTATATATGTTCCTTGCATTGAAACGAAGCACATGGCTAATGGAAGCTTACAGGAAAACAGTAATAAAAGGCTTTTCGTAAAGCTCAGAAAAGATAGAACACCTTTATGGACGTAAGATCACTTTGCTTCGATTTCACTCTTCAAGTTTTAAGGGATGTCGAGTGGAATTAACTGCATAGGGCGAAGATAAAGTGTGAAGTACAAGTTCGGACGAATTTAGTAACTCGTGAACCCAGTAACAAAGACAAATTATTGATTGATGGTAAGTTCAGAACCTACAAAAGTTTATATCATGCCTTCTCCTATGTATATGGAAATGAGCGAGCTGTTTCCCATCTCAAACTGCCGACGTTTGTTTTGGGATAGAATAACACAGAACAGTTCTCATGTGTTGCATGGATTAAAGTTACATACATCTATTGCAAAAAAGATTATACTGTGGGCCTGTGGCTATATATATATATATATAAATTAATTTAACATGTCAGTTACCATTTGTTGGGTTAATGATTAGTTTATCATAGACAACTTACTTGTAATTACCTTCAAAATTATTTAAATACATTTTACATCATCGATACATAAAATTTAAACTCTATCCGCATTAAGGCTGTATTGGGTCTTCATTCAATCATCATCCTGCTCTAGGTTCCAATAATAATGCTTCATGAACCTGTCAACTTCTCACGTAAAATATTAGTTATTGTTACTATTAGAAGAGTCTAACAAGAGTCTTTTCATAGGATCTTTTCCAGCATCTTTTAGATATTTTATTCTAAAAATTTTATCATTGAAGGTGCTTTTACGTATTTTATGATGTGAATTTTAAACAAGAAAACAATTTGAAGTGACAACTTTTCTGCATCTTTTGGCGCTTGCAAAATAATACATTGCTGATTAAGAAAATCACGTTGATTGCACTGCTATTTCTGGTTATATATATCCAAGATGTTTGCTTCTTTGTTTCCAATAAGTGCAATATTATTTTTTGGCGTTTGTCATTCTCCTTTTGGGAACTAAACTGTGTTGTCCTGAATAGTGATGAGGTGGGTAAAAGAATCAAGAGACGTCTCCATTCTCAACTTTTTGCTTTCTGATCATTCTTCTGATATGTTTAGCTTTTCTTGGTAATACTCGATCACGCATATCTTTTCTGTTCGCCAAGTACTAGCTTCTTTCCCATAAACCCACTCTCTCGTCTTCCATCCGAGATTAATTTCTATACACTAACGCTATTAGGAACCTAAACATATATAATTGTCCATAAAATATGGATTAATAACCCGAAAAATAAGTCAAATTAGCTACTACAACAAGCTAAGATACAATTATATGTGAAATTCTTTACACTATCCGTCTGCTTAGTGTACATAAGTTAAATCCATCACGTTGAGTACTTTTTTTTTCTTTGTCTTTGTCCTCCTTTCTTTTGGATTGAAAAAATTTAAGATATTGCAGAAACTGGAATCGTACATTGGGATAGGAAAAGTAGAGAAAGAAACTGAGGAGGTCTAGTCTAAAAGAGATAAAAGAGCAGTGAGGCAAAGCACATGGAGAATGACTGTGTTTGTAAAAGCAGATTGATTTATCCCAAAGTGTTTGTCAAGTGGAGAAACTACTACTTTTGTCGAAAGCAGTGGACCTATTTTGGCGTTTGCATTTATTTCCCCATCCTTGTTTGTTTGTTCCATCATTTCACTATTTCTAGGCCTTCTTCCTTTTCTTTCAAATATATAATCTGTTGCAAGGGAAAACTCCAGCTTTAGTCTCTAAAAGTCGCCTTTATTCTTAATTCCTAAGTTCGATCTAATCAGCTTAATTTCCTTTGTTCTGTTCTCCTCCATAATATCATTGCCAGCCTTTATTTCTGCGCAAAAGCATTGGATTGATCTATTTTTATTTGCATGTCAAAATACCCATTACATTGATTACTTAGACCAGTAGCAAACTCCAGCTATACTTTGTCATTTTGATACAAAAATTTGGGAATTAGATATTTTTGAACTATTTCAATCTATCGATATCTCCACATACAGACAGGATCACCTACAATCGTTAAACGGTAACCAGAGAAAGAGAGCCATCAAACTGAAGATTAAACTTGTTTAGACTACTAGTTGATCTCATCCAAGCTGTTAAACGATCATCCAATTTGAGAAAGAATTAATCTAGAAAGTATTTGAAGCATTTACTAAATACATAAATTACCAAATGATTTGTTATACGGGCTTGCTCTTCAAATTAATGATATTTTAAAAAAGCTCTGGTCAGAAATTTGGATGTCAATAGACGAAATATTGTGAAGCTTAGAAAAACTCTATGTTTGAATAATCTCAAAAGATAGATTATTTAGCATTAGAATGAAATAAAACAAAAGAGAATATAGGATTTAGCCGTAGTCAACTGAACATAAATCTCATTTGCTCCAAGTAGGACGCTGCTTTTGTCGTAGGTCATGAAATCAAGCTCAGAAAATTAAGGGGGTTTAAATTGTAATGGTGCACTTCCCAAGCACTTATCCTCATGGACAAGGAAGTTCGGAAACACGGGCTATATTTTTCAGAGACAAACGTGTGCTTTGCATTAAATACTCGAGTCAAACGTTTGAGATCAAATGTCACCTGATATTGCAACAATTGACCAGACATCATGGAAAGCGAACACTCAACTAATGGATGATAGAAAATTCAAAGCCCAATACTTTGACCCAGCCCAATCCGAGTGAAACTTTTTAGATCGTGAAATAGTCAGTTTTCTGACTGATCATTCAAAAATAGCCAGTGTTTGCAAAGTCATTGAAAAATGGCTACTATTTTGCTGCAACACGGAAAATTTCAGCATAATATACTAGAGATCGGTACACCTGTGTATGAACTTCCAGCATATTATACTGGAACTCCAACACGCGGAAAGTTCCAAAAGATATTATACTTGACTATTTTTCCGGATTTTGAACAATGTTTTCGTTCAGATTTATCTTTATATGAAAAGTGGCTAAATTTCAATTACTTTTAAAACTGTGGCTATTTTTAAATGACCATTTATAAATCTGACTATTTTTGAATTTCATTCATTCGTAACACCAAGAAAACATCATGTTAGCATCTTAGAAAACACACTGTACTTTTTACACAAAACCTCACTACGATACTTATTTTTATGAGGTCAGTTGGATAGGCAAAATCAGCAAAAGAAGCTTCCCAAAGCCATACTAATCTTATAAGTCAGAGGCGGAACCAGGATTTCAAGCTTATGGGTTCGAAATTCTAATTGTTAAAAGTTATTGGGTTCTAAATTAATCATTTATACATATTCAGTGGCTTTTGTAAGACAAACACAGGGTTCGAATCAAAGTTACTGGGTTCGGCTGAACCCGATCCCAACACTCTACCTCCGCCATTGTTATCAACCCTACTTGGTAAAGCAGTTAGCAATAGGTGGATCGTGAATGTATTATAGTTGTGTTTAGTGGTGGTAAAAGGGCGGACTGGGTCGGATTTAGACGGGTTGAAAATGGGGTTGAGCAAAAATTGGTTGAATCTCAACTCGCCCATATTTCATGCGGGTCAAAAACGGGTTAGGTGTCAATTGGGGGGGGGGATATGAATTAACCCATATTATATAAGTGTAATATTTTTCAAGTGCAATTTATAATTTTCAAATTATTTTGACATAAGATTAACTGGAATAATATATACTAATCACCAGTAAATTTATTCAACTTTGACAATCATATTGTAAATGTAACTTACTCTTCCCACAAAATACAATAGTTTTCATTTTAGGAACAAAATGTGCTTAATGCACTTCAAGCAATATCACGTATAATATATGACTCTGTGTTTTCCACTTTGTTCATATATTGTCTGCAATCTAATATAAAACTAAATAATAATAGTAATAGTAATAGTAAATGGAAAAAGAGCACAAATACAAATTCTTAATATACTCTTGAGTGCCTTTTGTTGAGACGTAGTACAAGTCAGGAAAAAAATATTCTCTTTCTTATCATGTACTTTTCATGAACAAATGGAAAACAATTACAAATTTGCTTCTACTTCTTAAACTATTTTTGGTATTCAAGTATGAACCTAGAAAGAATAAGATATTTTCTTAAAAAACTCTAAACAATACTTACAATGTTTAGAAGAAGAAAAATGAAAAGAGATGCTCACCTAGTCAACTATAGTGAGAAGAAACATATGAAGGTAAGAGGAGTTGGATTACCTTTATAGCATTTTCAGGTTCAAAAATGATATCAGGTACTTTGCGTGAGCAAAAGTTGGAAGATAACCCATTAGGCTAACCCATATTTATTCACATTTTACCCATGCATACCATATTTCTACGGGTTGAAGCCAAATTTTGCCCAACTTAAATATCACTCATCCAATCTATTAAAATATGGACGGATTGGGCGGGTTGACAAAATATAGGCTCATTTTGCTATCTCTCTGATTAGGGGTTAGCACTGCAACATATGGATGGAACAAAAAGGGAAAATGTAGATGCTTGATCAAATGTGCAATGCTAAACAAGTGCAATGATGCACCTAACGAGAAGAGGTAATCAATACAAAGGGCGAAATAAAGGCATCCATCCGCAACTTATCCCAATGCACCATGCATAATCAGATCTTTCTCCCAATTTTTTTAATATGCTGGACTGTGGATGCAATGCCTGTTTAATACTTCCCTGGAACTCCTAATGCTATGTATTTGCTTGAGAGAGGGAGAGAGACTATAACTAAGTAGAAAGTTTTGTTGCGTGGAAATAGTCAAAAGGTTTGCTTTCATTACTACAAAGTATTGAACTGCCTCATGCGTCTCTTAGTTTCAATAGAGATAAAGAAACATCATTTCACATATAGTACACTGTACATGTCACTAATTCTGCGTCAGATGGTAACTAAAGAAGACTGCGACATATGCTTTTATGGCTTTAATCAAACTGGAAATCTGGAATCATTTTAAAAAGATGTAAATTTAATTTATTTGTTAAAGAATAACATGAGCAGTAAGTCCCAAAATAAGATTTCGCAGTAATTCCATAGCTTTCAGCCATCTAACTCCTATAAGTGATGGCTAAGCAAGAAATCCAAATAGTACTTCAAATGAAGAGATGTAAGGACTGTGATAAGTTTCTCCTAGAGACTTATCATTTTCAGGAGTTTCGAGTATTCTGGAATTTTGAACATCAGCCCAAAAATAACTAGGAAAGCAAATTAAATTTAGATCTTACAGCTTTGCATTCCAGGGCAAATTTCACCCGAAAATCCTCCAAAATGTTTGTTACAGCAGCTTTTCCAGCTAATACGCACTGCATCTAAGTACCTATGGCAGATAGAAATCGAGATCAAGCCTGTTTTGAATAGAAAAACTGTACAAATAGTAAGCTCATTAAATCTAATAAAAAAAATTCTTGTTCTGAGATATTTCTTTCGCCAGCCCCTCAATCCTGCCGAGCTTATGAATAGAAGATGACTGATCAAGCAAACTAAAAAGAAATAGTTCTATAAGATGCTAACAAGCAAGTATGAAAAATAGGTCAAACAAAAATAAACCACAAAGAGGGTGATATCGCTAGAAGAGTTATGACAGAAGTGGAGATCTCGTAAATCTTAACTTACTAACGATTGAACTAATTAATTATTGAATAACACTCAGATGAAGACCACATTAGTTTTAATTCCAAAAAACAAAAGACCTGAGCTGCCGAAAATTACCTGTACACAAACAGATTATAAGATACTCAGAGAACCAATGATCCATATAACAGATACATGGTTAAAAGATGGCGTGTCACTTTTTGCATCTTATCAGTTTCCAAACACATCCTACGCTACATAAACCCATGTTGTATTGTTATATTTTCCAAAAGAAAATAGAGCAATTACACAAAGAATAGCCATGCTTAACTTCATTATCATGATCTATCCAAAGGAATCCAATGAAAACAAAAAAGAAGTTAAGATCCAGAATTGACAGATTTTTGCTTTCAACTGAATGGATTGATTCATTTAAAGCAGTGAAGCAGCTAGCAATGCCCAGGGTAAATGGTAATTTCACACCACAAACCAATCCTCCTGGAAAGTGGAGACTCGGAACCAACACCATTTTATTTCAAGTTTGAAAATATGTAGCTACAAACTGAAGGGTTTATGGACATGATAAAGGAATGGTGGCAATCTTACACAATCATTGGCTCCCTAGATTATATTCTCATCCAGAAGTTGAGACCTTTAAAGGACATAACAACCTGGAAAAGAGAGGAGCATGGCAAGTTAGAAGACAGAAGGAACGAGACACTTGATGAGTTAAGACTCTTGGACCAAGTAGCTGAACATAGGGTACATTCTCTAGAGGAAGAGCTGCGGACTTCCAATCTCAAATTGGAACTTCAACAGATTGCACTAGCTGAAGAAGTCTCTTGGAGAAAAAAATCCAGGTGTTTATGGCTAAAGGAAGGAGATAGAAACACGAAGTCTTGTCAGAAAATTGCTAAACTCTCAAAGGAGGAACAATTGCATTGACAAGCTCCGGGTGGGAGAAAATCTAGTTGAAGATAAGGAGCGGAACAAACAGGAAATACTGGGATTATTATCAGATTTTGTACAAGGAGAAGGAACCCTGGAAACCTACAACAGAGTTTGAGGGGTTATCACCATTATCTGCAGATGAATGTATTGATCAAGAATCACCTTTTGAGGAATCAAAATTCTTGCCAACCTTAAAGTCTTGTGCTCCTGATAAAGCACCAGGCCCTGATGAATTCACTATGGCCCTCTTTCAAAAGGCAGGGGACTTTATTTAAAACAGATATCATGGAGACTCTCAATCACTTCTATCATAGCTGCCATATGGTCAGATCCCGCAATGCTGCATTTATTAAGGAGCAATAGAACTAAGGGACTACATACCTATCAGTTTAATAGGGAGTGTTTACAAGATAGCTGCAAAAACTTTGGCCGAAAGATTAAAGAAGGTCATTGCCAAGTTGATCTCTGGGCAACAAAGTGCTTTTATTAAAAACAGACAGATCATATATGCCTCCCTGATTGCCAATGAGGTATTGCATTGGAGAATCAAAAGTGGTGAAACAGGTTTATTGTGCAAGTTAGACATTGAAAAAGCTTTTAATCAAGTTGGGCATATCTCATCAACATCCCAAAGAAGATGGGATTTGAAGATAGGTGGTAAAGGTGGATAAAATCTGCACATCAACTGTGAAATATTCCGTGTTGGTTAACAGAAGCCCTGTAGGTTTCTTTTCTCCTCAAATGGCCTCAGGCAAGGAGATCCCCTCTCTCATTTTCTCTTAATATTGGCATTGGAGGGTGTCTCACAGATGCTAGGAAGGGCAAAGGAGCTTCAATGGATACAAGGTTTTCATATGGGGAGAAATCCTGCAAACTTGGTCAATATATCACACCTGTTATATGCAAATGACACATCGATCTTCTGTGGTGCAGAAAGGTCACAAGTAATCAATCTCAACCTCATCTTACTTATTTTTGAAGCATTGGCTGGGCTACACATCAATATGCTTAAAAGCATTATCTATCCGGTGAATGAGGTTCAAAATTTGGAGGAATTAGCTTAAATACTATGTTGTAAAATTGGCTCCTTCCCTACAACTTATGTAGGACTCCCCTTGGGAGCCAAATTCAAATCCACTAGAATTTGGAATGGAGTCATTGAAAAAGTTGAAAAGAGACTAACAACATGGCAAATGCAATATCTCTCAATGGGGAGCAAACTCACACTGATCAGTATATCCTTGACAGCATACCAACTTATTACATGTCTTTATTTCCTATGCGAAGCTCAGTCCTAAAGCAGCTAGACAGGCTAAGAAAAGGTTTTTATGGGAAGGAAATAGTGAGACTCACAAATTTTCACTTGTTAGGTGGCCAAAAGTAACTCAGCCAAAGTCTTATGGTGGATTGGATATCGAGAATCTTAGGTTTCACAACAAATGTAAGCTAATGAAATGTCTATGGAGGTATGGACAAACTGAAACAGGTTACTGGAAGGAGATCATTGACGCCAAATGTGGAATTCAGAATCACTAGAGCCTCAAGAAAAGTTCAACACCTCATGGAGTGGGTCTATGCAAACACATCAACAACTTTCAAAATGATTTCTTTCAGAATACATCATTCAAAATTGGTAGTGGTATTCATGTGAAATTCTAGAAAGATATATGGCATGGTAATACAGCACTAAAGGATTCATACCCTGGTCTATACCTAATAGCCTACAATCAGGACTCAAATATTGCTCAAAACAAAGAGAACAACATTTGGAATACTGTGTTTAGAAGAAATCTTCATGATTGGGAAATCAAGACTTACTTGCTCTCTTAGCCACACTGAGAGATTTCTTCACCGAAGATCAACAACCAGACAGAATCATATGGGGGAATTAAAAAGAAGGGAAGTACATGGTCAAAGAGGGCTACAACCTTATGTGCTCGCAGAATGGAATACTAGAGGATTGGCCCTAGAAACATGTCCGGAGGACCAGCATGCCACTCAAAGTAGCAGGACTCGCATGGGCTGCCCTCAATGAAGTTGTTTTAACACAGGACAATCTTAGCAGAAGGAGCATCACTGATAGCAACCATAGAAGCTCAACTTTATTGGAGGAGCAAATATTATCATATCAAGATTCGAGGACGAATCTTCTTTGAGAAGGGGAGAATGATAGCAACCGTAGAAGCTCAACGTCATTATAGGACAAGGATGAAGTTTTAGAAGCTCCAAGAAGGCCCATGACAAGATGTCAAACAAAGAAATTTCAAGACAAGCTCAATGAGCTTCAATTAGCAATTAAAAGATGTCTAATGGTGGGAGAAGGACTCCAGCCCAAAGAAGATATTTTGGGTAAGTCTTACAACTATTTGGAGGCCCAAATTGAAGTCCAAGGGGAGGTAGAATGGGGCCCAAAATCAGCCCCAACAAGGAGCAACTTAAGCTGCCCAAACTAGTGTTGATTTAACCCAGTTTCTAGAGTCTTTTATTAATACTTTGTTGACTATAGTGAACAAAGTATGGGTAGTCTTCAATTTTGACTACATTGAATAAAGTGTGAGCAATCTTCAATGTTGACTACATTGAAGAAAGTGTGGGTAGTCTTCAATGTTGACTACATTGAAGAAAGTGTGGGTAGTCTTCAATGTTGACTACATTGACCAAAGTGTGGGTAGTCTTTATGCACCTAGAGATTTACTAGCTTATTTATTTTTGTTTTGACCGGCCCTTCTTTGCTAATATATAAAGGGGTGCTTTGTTTCTTCATTGTAACTAAGTTTGAAGAATATTAATATTATTAGCCTTGTGGCTTGTGGAGAGCTTGGAGGCTCTCTTTAGGGTTCGTTCTTTTTGTTCTACTTTGCATCGTAACTTGGATCCTTCAATAGTAAGATTCCTCGTTTGAGTTCCATCTCTCCTATTCTTCTTCTTAATTGATTCACTGCTTCTTTTGCTATTAAACAAGGTTTTAAGTATCAAATACTTGAACTTGTTTTCTTTCCTCTAAAGAATCAATCTTCCCCCCTTTCTAACTTCTAATTCTAAAGTCTTCCGCTATCCGTGTTGTTATCAAGTCGTTAACTTTGAAGACTACCAACACTTTGTTCAATGTAGTCAATATTGAAAACTATCCACACTTTCTTCAATGTAGTCAATATTGAAGACTACTCACACTTTATTCAATATAGTCAAAATTGAAGACTACCCACCTTTGTTCAATATAGTCAACAAAGCATTAATAAAAGAATTTAGAAGCTATGTTAAATTAACACTAGTTTGGGTTGCTGAAGTTGCTCCTTGCTGGGGGCTGATTTTAGGCCCCATTCCACCTCCCTTTGGACTTTAATTTGGGCCTCCAAATAGTTGTAAGACTTGCCCAAAATATCTTCTTCGGGCTGAAGTCCTTCTCCCACCATAAGACACCTTTTAATTACTAATTGAAGCTCACTGAGCTTGTCTTTAAACTTTTTCGTTTGAGATCTTGTCATGGGCCTTCTTGGAGCTTCTAAAACTTCATCCTTGTCTTTTAATGACGTTGAGCTTTCATGGTTGCTACCAATTACTCTAGTCAACAGATGCTAAATGACCAACAGAGATTATAAAGTATTAACCATCTGTTTCTACATTGCCCAATCACTGCTCATATTTGGAACTTCTTCCTATCCATTTTTAGTATAACTTAGATCATGCCTCACCGCATCAATGAATCCTATATTAGCTGGATTTTATGGAGAGTTGACAAAGCCATAAAAAATATGGAGAATGTTCCCAAAAGTCATATTTTGGATTGTTTGGAATGAAAGAAATAGCAGATGTTTTGATGGAATATCAACTCCAACACATTCCCGATAAGTTAAATGTTTAGTTAGTTTGTTTAGTTGGAACTTTCTTTCCCCTGTTAATAACGTCGACACTTTTTTGGATTTTGTTAGCTCATTGGTTCTAGCATAGGTACTCTTTCTTTAGTATGGGAGCTAACATAATTTCTATCTTTTGTAATTTGGCATCTTCCCTATGCCCTTTTAATGATATTATCTTACTTCATCAAAAAAAAAAAAAATCAATCAACTGTCTAGAAAGAGCTCTTCAATTTTCGGGGAAAAGCTTCTTCATTCTTTAATAAGGACCGAAAAGCTTCTTCATGTACTTCAATCAAAGGACCTCCTCATTTCTGTTTACTTCCCTTCAAAGTAAGCAATCATACTCCAACCTCTGCAAGATATTTTCAAACCTCTATAGGATACCATCTGGACCACATGCTTTTCTAATCCTAATATGTTTCATGGCATCTTTTACCTCTGCCGCTCTAATTTATGAGTGTAACTAAAGTTTCTATCCTACACATATGTGTAGAGATCTAAAAAGTTATTCATGTGGGTCAAGTTGACCAATTGATCATGATAGCCTCTCATCTCTTTAACACACTTCACCTGATTTAAGTCTGTATCTTCTCTCTCACCTGTGCTAGTTTAAACATTTCTTTCCTCACCTCTCGTGCCCCTAACTTCTAGTACAAGATATCAAGGGCTTCCCCTTGAGGTTTGCTAATATCAAGTACTGCCTCCCTCTTAGCTCTCTTATACTCTTGTAATGCTTCTCCGATTGCTGGTTTTATAATTAGAGATTTGAGTCCCATAAAGTTTGGGCATATTTGGTTCTATGATGGGATGATCCATACTCATGTGGCAGACTCATTCTTGCACTATTTTAATCTATTATTAGAATTACGTTAGTACTTTGACTATAAGCATAAACTTAAAGGCCTAAAGTGCCATGTTTTTGGGTGCATCCGCGAGTTGTGGTGTGACGCTGCACAAAATTGTATGATTATTTTTTACAGGTACAAATTTTGAGTGAAAGCCGGAATATTTTACTTCAGCTATCTTATTAGTTTTTATTTTAATATTTTTATTATTATTTATTAACAATAACACGAAGTCAATATTTTAGAGTAGAGAAGAGAAAAATGGTTTGATCGTAATTATTTCGTTTTGGAGGTATAAACAGGTTTATAATACATTAATACCTTAAACAAGTTAATTATGACATGTATGTAAAATACAACCATGACCAATTAAAAGGCACTTAAATAACAACCATTTAATTTAAAATTCAAAACATTAAATAAATAATATTAATAATAATAAAATATTTAATTTTGGGTACAATAAGTGTTCAACAACACTTCTTTTCTTTTGCATTCTACCAAGTGAGAAAGACAACTTGTCTTATCTTCCCAATCACTAACTATATTAACAATCTCCCACTTAGTGATTGATGTAGTTATTTATGATTTATGCATATAGTAGTTGTATTTCAGCCCACTACTTGTATAAACTTTTTAAAATCTCGTCAAAATTGATAGTAAGGATAATTTTCTGTTAAACCGCATTCGTTTACTGACAAGATGAAAACATTTATACACATAAAATCATATTAACTTCATAACATCTTTCACATGCGCTTAGCACCATACTATGACCTTGTGCTACCTCCTAAATTCATAATTCCAAACTTAGATTGAAGCAGCACCATTTCGTGTGTTTATATTGGTGAAGATTTAATCAAATTCTTAACATTAACTTTCTAAGTTCTTAATCCGAACTTTGTTTCAGTAATTTTGCACTGACCCTATTTTTCTTAAGTACTATCATTTCGAATACTTGCAAACTGTCACAACCATAACTTGTTTTTACCTTTAAAGTTTAAACCTTTCATATTGCTAACCAATAAAAAAGATAAGGTACCCGTGATAGTGATAAATCAAAACTGCCTTAGACTGGTAGCACTTGTAGTCATTATTGTATCTCTTGAGTGTCCTTCAGTCAATGGTCAGCAAAGTTGTCTTAAACCTAACATAAGAACTCATAATAATCATCAGAAATCAATTGTTTTATGTACTCTCAAAATAATATGTCTAGATTTTCTATTGTATATCTTGTTGAATGTCTTAGACATAGTTGTTTCACACTTTTCTTGTCACGATGCAAGTGGACAACTGGCATTGCTTGAGGCCATGACTCTATATCTAGCAACAGATTTCTCAGTCATTCTATAGTCAAAATCTCGCCATAGGAGTATATCTGTCAAAATAATCTACTCCTGACTTTTGACTAATTTCTTGCCAGCTATTCTACCACCGAAGGTCTGTAGCAAACCATAGGTGTTGTGCTTTCTTCTAAATACCCACTTACACCGAATAGATTTAGTATTAGAAGATAAATCTGTCAAGCCATTTAATATAAGAGAATCCATTCTCATCATTTTTATCTTCTTTCTAGAAAGCATAATCTCTTGAAGTCATTGTCTCACTATGAGTCATAGCCTCATAGGATCCTCTTCTAAATTCAAGATAATAGGTATTTTATTTAAGACCTCATCTCCACTTCAACGAAAAAACACAAACATAGGTAAAAATCCCTCCTTTTTTATCAATGTGTCCTGCCGTAAGCTACACTTAGCGATAGAAAACAAAAATGATGAATCAAAAGAGGTACCAATGAAGCATACTCTATTTTGATTCCAAAATAAACCATAAAGTTTAAATGGGCAAGTTAAACCTCTAAGAGCTAAAATCGGGGCATCATATGAGGAGAACAGAGCTCAAAATATTGATCCTCCCGAACAAGTACTTTGCAAAATTGTGATTTTTATCAGCATTAGGTGCGGAAAACAGGACTCACAATTGAAAACTACCGATCAGGGCAAGTGCGACAGAAAAAGGTACCCTGAGACAGCTGGCAGCAAGTGCTCGCCTCCATTTGGATGTGTGATGTTAGACGGCTGGCTGCCACCGCGCTGTGAAGCGGTAGCAGCGATTGGGTGCAACCCAGTATTCCATTAGTCCTGAAAATTAAAGTTAATTAATAAATAAAGAACTAAAATTTAGTATAAATTAAGTGAAATGTAAAAGAGAACCGAGAAAGGGCGATGATACGGAAAGTAACTTGGTGAGTATGGTGGAAAGAGAACGGCGAGATTGAAGGCGCTGGCCGAGAATGGATCGTACACTTGGAGAGGAATTGACTGTTGATGGTCTGCTGCCAGAGAGAAGAGTCCTCGAAAACGATATGCAGCGTCTTGCCATGATTTTTGCTCGTCTAGTGTACAGGATGCGGGGAACAGTGAGATTCAGGGTTTAAGGGACCAACTATATCTCGGTTCGGGCTGCGGGCTTGTTACGAATAGGTAACGGACTTTGGAGGAAATTTTTGGAATTTGCGCTTCTTGCGAGGGAGGGGAAGCAATTGAAAGGAGATGATGAAAATTGAATAAAGTAGGAAATTACTCTAGGTAACTGCACTACTCTCTGATAAAATATTCAGATATCAAATTCTTTTATTTTTATGAAGTAATATTATATATTTAAAATCTTCATGATAAAAATACTATAGATCACAATTCTTATTTAAAATTAAAAATATTGTTTACCCTTAAAATGTGCAACAATTGAATTTATATGCGGTTTTAAGGATATGGGGACTATTTAATACAAGTGGTCAATAACGTTAAATAAATGAATTGAAGACATAATGAATAACCAAACCAGTAGGGATGTCAGATCCGAGCTCGGTTCTGAGCTTAGTAACTATTCCGCTCTCGATTTAAAGCTAAATACTTATGAAGAACTATGAGCAAAAATAAGAATTTTGAATAACTTTAGAAGCAGGGAAAATAAGTGTATATTGCCTTGATATGTATGCTACAGTGTGTGTATTGAACAATAAACTTCCCCTTTATATATTAGAAGAGTTTTAGCCTAAGTACAATTATAAGAAAGGTAAAAATCTTCTTTCCCGTTAATCACTGATCCGCTATCGATACAGGCCGAGATCCACGTTGTGATATCCGGTTGGGTGCGGATATCACGACCCTCATTAGTCGTGTGCTACCTTTAGGTTGAGCCTTCGGTCTTGGAGCCCGTACCGGATTCGGGGGTATGTCTCGATGACCCTGGTGGTAAGTGCTTCGTTCGGGACAGTACGAGAGGTTCTTAGCTTCGATCCCGATTCCATGTAGTTATGTCCTTGCTTCGTTTGACCCAACCGGGAAATCGGGGTGCTCACTAGCCCTAGTTTTACCTGCATACAGATAGTCCCCTCGTTTCTCAGAGAGTAAGTTTGCCGAAACGATGGAAAATGATAGATGTTCTTTGGTTCCTTCTTCCGTACTTTACAACCGAAACGTCGAAGAAGTCGAAACGTCCCACCAGTCGTGTCGTTCTGACTTCGGACACGTGTTAACCATCGGCTGGTTGCCTCCGAATGCGAAGCGTCGCGTACCTCCCTATAAAAGCTTCCATCCTTTGTTCTTTTTCTACTTTCCGATCAACCTTCGAACTTTCTAACTATCATCAACTTCTTTCAAACCTTCATATCTTCATCTTTTGATCTTCAAATCTTCATAGTTGTTCTTAAGTATTTGCCCAGATCTTCTTCAACTCTTCATATCCTTTTGTTCAGCCTTCAAACTCGTTCTTCCAAACCTTCATACTTTTCTTCAAATTTTCAAATTTTACGAGACAACAATGGCTAAAACTTCCAAATTAGTTCCCAACAGGCTGCCTCTTCATCTTCCCAACCAGTTGCTGGTACTGAGGCGATCGCTCCCAAAATAGTTGTCCTCAAGACGACTGCTCCTAAAGTGGCTACCACCAAACCGGCTCCCGTGCCCCCTTGAAAATTTTTATTTTCGGGGGCTATTCTATTGTGGACAACTTCAAGGTTGAGAAACCCACATCCAAACAGGACTGTGGTAAAGGAGCATCGAGGTATATATGCTCCGTTATCGAAGACTTCCTTCCCACGATCCGAGAGGACTCTAAATGGTAAGGCAATGATAAAGTAGTCCCCGGGCCTGAGGATACTAGTAACCCACGTGGAGGGGTATTTTAGTGTTTACAATTACCCCTTCACACTAGACCCGGTAGACCAATTATTTTGGATTTTTGCAAGAGATACGAGGTGTGCCTTGTGCAAATCCACTTGTCTCTTTGGAGGATCGTAATCCTCCTATTTTGTGAATAACACCGAGTCTCGTCGGTTCACCATCGACCACCTGCTTCGTCTATACAGTCCCCAAATTTTCTGAAGGGGACTGATCAAGCTCACTCGTCGGGAAAGCAAGGCCCCCTTCTCGAGCATCGACGAAGATCGAGACCGAGGTAGGTAGGGGCGCTTTGTTTGGGTAAAGACCGAAGACTTGATCCCTCCCGAGTTCATGTCATTCCCCAAAAAGTGGAATGCATCTCGTAAGTGCAGCCTTTCCTTAAGTGTCAATTTTTCTTCATTTCCTTCCTCATCATTCATATTTGTGGTTGTACAGCTGTTGCCCGGGTTCCGAATGCGGTTCCCCGGCTCAAGGAGTGGATCGAAGGCATCTGCAAACAGATGTCATACTTCGAGCGCTCATGGTGCAAGTTTTCAAAGGGTCGATGGGAGGCCTGTTCTCATGATAAGGTTCTCCTTCGAATAGCTATTACCATGTTCTTAGCTCACATCATACTGACCTTTCTTCTTTCTTTCATAGGTTTGCCTAAGACCAACGAGCTTAGGCCTTTGGAAGGGAACGATGATGTATCCTTGTCCGTTGATCCCTCCATTACGGGACAACTTGGGGCTGCCGCGGGGGAAAAGAGGAAAAGAAAATCTTCGGGCTCCCCGGGTCCCGAGGTGAAGCCAAAGAAGAGGGTGGCTCATAAGCTTAAGAAGATTACCATCTCCCGGGGCTAGATTCTGGCTCACTTCTCCGGCTCAGGAATGAGTCGGAAGAAGACGACATTTTTTTATCGCCCATGGATCGACCCTTCCTGAGGAGAAAGCAGCAGCCGGGGGGGAGCTTCGTAAGGTTGACCTCCTTCAGGCTCGAGAGGCCTATACGGGAACGGGGGATAGGACCCCCTCCCCCCCCCCCCCCCCCCCCCCCGGGACGCCGGCTTCGCTCCGAAGGAAGCGTCCGGTGTAATAGACATTATGGAGATCCCCTCCTACATCGAGTCCATGCTTGAGGAGGCCCAAGCAGGAAAAGAGAAATCCAATTAACGGGTTCATGGCGCGAACGATCTCCTTCATTCTTTCTTCTTGGACTCATCCACTTTGGAAGATTTTTTCAGGCTAGGCGACCTTGAAATCTCGAAGAAAGATATATCTTTGGAAGCTGACGGGCCGAGTTTGAGCCTAATATTGATCATTTGGTTTCCCGCTCCTAGTGTGGACCTTGGTCGCAAGAGATCAGTTATTCTTACTGTCTCGGAGAATGCCCGGGTTCTATCTCCTCCTGTGGGCATAGCCAGATACCTCCGATGCTTGGTGACTAAGGAGGACCAGGCAAAAATGAACAAAATGTATGTGTCGTGTCTTTTCAACGAGGCGCAGCAGGTGCTGAACCGGGTAAGGCATCATTACGTTTTCTTATATTTTACTTAAGTTTTGATATTTCTCATGACCTTTATTATTTTGCAGGCCTCGATACTTCACCACGAGAGCTTCCTCCGGTACCGTGTCGAGTCAATCAATTTGATCTCGAGCTCAACGAGCAGGCTCGAAAGAAGAATATGTACAAGCTCCTCAGCAGCAACAAGACAGGACCGTCAAGACCTTCAGGTTGAGCTGGATAGGGCTCAAAAGGAAGCATCTGCCCTAAGGCAGGAACATGCTAACTTGGTCGAAAAGGTAAAGGTATTTGAAGTTAGAAACGAGGAACTAGTCTATGTTGCTAATGACAAAACCTCACAGGCCCAACAGAAGATCGACCAGATCGACCAACTCCGAAAAGAGATGAACAAGATCCAAGCTATGTTTGATCGGTGAAAAAGTAAGATGGATCTGCTAGGGTCACAAAAGGAAACCGCCCAAGCAAAGCTGACATCGGTAGAGGTTCAACTTTGGGCGGTAAAGGAGAAAACTGACAAGCGGGCTCAGCTGAATGAGGATCTCCTATCACAGGTGAGCTCAACTATCGTAGAGTGGGACGCCCTCTATAGAGAGCACGAGGCAATAAAGTCCAAGTTGGAGATAACCCATGCCGATGCTGATAAGATGGTGGCCCAATACAAGGCCGATGTCGAAGCAGCTGAGGCCCGCCTGAAGACCAATGCCAAATATATGAGGCGGCTATCTCTAAGGGAGTTGATCGAAGAAATTCATGCCCGAGGTTTCGACCTGTCGGCCGAGATTGAGGAAGCACTAAGGCTTGAGGCCGAGGCAAAGAAACTTTCCGAGCCTGAAGGTGCTGAAGGCTCGGAGGTTTCTGAGGGCTCCGAAGGCTTCGGCAGTTCTGGCGACGAGTCAGGCCCAGGTGAAGATCAGGCATCAGTTCCTTAGAACTTTTTTAGTTTTTATTTTGTGTATGTTTTTTGTTTATTTTGAGGCCGTTTTTATTGGTCCTTTGTAAATACATTTCGGAATATATAAAATTTCCCTTTCTGGCAATTTCAAGTCTTTACTTTTTTAGCATCTTTTCATAATTTTTATTCTTGCAAATATCTCTAATGCCTTAGCATAAAATCAAATGTAGTAATAAGTCGTTTGTTTTTCATACGTCCAAACAGAGCATGGCTTCGATGCAACTTTATTTGCTCAACACCTTGAAAACTCGGTGTGACCGGTAGTTTTCCCAAGATGCTTAAGTGATTTTAGATGATGATTTTGTCGAGGGTAACCTTTTAGCAGGTTCTGAACTTTTATAAAGGCCTTATGTTCTGATAACAAGCTTCGGACGTCTCCGAGCCATTTTTAGGGCGGTTGTAGCCTTTCATGTTTAGGCACTACTTAATAGATTTTGTGCCTCCGGGATTTGGTAGCCCGAGTTGCTCGAACTTATTTCGGATGACAATCCTCGAGTAGGGGTAGCACTTGGGCTCGATAGTCCTCGAATAGGGGTAGCCCTTAGGCTCTATGTTTGAAGAGGCAAAAATACGTAATAGCAAGGTGAGAACTTTCTTTCATTTCTGTGTGTAGTGTATATGATCGAAGGCGTGTAAAAGCATATATTATGGCTAAGGTGGCCTACGCTGGCATGATTCACCTAACCGTTTGGACCTTACAATAAATCCTGACCACCGAGCCTAACCTGTTCAAGTATAAAGTTTCCTTCTTTCTTTGCTAAGAACCTTAACCCGAGTGTGATGACTGATAAGTTAGGATTTTAACGTATTTATGCCCCTACTTGCCTATGCTTTGAGTATAAATTGATACTAAAATAGTCCCAAAATGCTCACAAGTTGTGCTTGATTGCAGGTTTGATCGACAAATTGACGAAATTTC